TTATTAAAAAAAATAATTAATAAAAATATTAATAATTTAAATTAGTAATATAGATAGGTATACATGGTAATTATTTGTATGATAATGTGCTAAATCTAATATATTAAATACATAATAATCATTTGTATATTTAATATAAAATTAATCTTCTTAAAAATGTAATATAAAGCTAATCTGTAATATAAATAATACAAAATAAAAATTTAAACTAAAAGAATTTAAAAGAAAGATAATCCAATCAAAATTATTACACTATATTATAAATAAAAAAATGAAAAAATAAGATTTTAAAAAAGTTTTTATTAATTATATATATACTTTTTATATAAAATAATTAAAAATTATATTCTTAAATATTATAAAATTATATTTATATAGTTAAAATTAGAATTAGAATTTTTTTAAAAAATTTTTATAATAAATATTATCTTTTTTTTTATTAATTAACTTATTTATATTATAAAATAAAATAAGAAATATTATTACAATCTAAGAATTAAAAATAAAAATAGTTTAATAAAGAATTCATATGAAATTTGATGATAGAATTTAATATTTGAAATTTTTTTCTTATTTTATTATAATTTTTTCTTTACATACTTATATTATCAATATATTATACTTTACTTTTTAGATAATGTAAGAAAAGTATTAAAATAAGATAATACTATCAAATCATTAGAAATTTTATTATAAGAATCAATCACTTTTTTTCAGATCACGTGATATTAATCTCGTGATTTTAAAAAGATAGACCAATAAAATTGCAGAATTAATTTGTAATAGATTCTAATTTTAATTCATTAATCAAAAAAATATGATGTGAATATTACATGACTAAATATCTTTAAAATTCCTAAAAATATTACAGCTATTATTTTTATGAAAAAAATGTTACCAGTCAGAATTAAAAATAATATCTAAAAAATTTTAGATTTCCGTTTCTGGTCACGTGATTGTATAGCATAGATGTTCTTTATTTGAAAAAGCGATGGTCGTCCTGGTAGTTATAAATTTCATGCTTTTGAATTGGTGATTGGATTTGATAAGGTATCACCAACAAGATTAAATATCGTTACGAATCACAGATCAAAAATGTTTTTTAAAAATAATTTTTGATATTATATTTATTTATATTTTTTCCGAGAACCTTAATATAGTGGTGTGATGAATACTTAATGTAATGAAAATGATTTAATTTGATCGATCAAAACTAATATATATCCATGGAATGACTTTAAACTAATTTTTATGAGTTTATTGGTTTCTTATACACAAAAAAATGAATAAATATATACATAATTATATAGTAAAAAAATGATAAGTAAAAAAAGAAGATTGAAATTACACAACACAAAAATTAGGAATTAAGCGGATAGGGGTAAAAATCTCATAGTTATATCATAACACTTAGAACAGGCAATAAATAATCATAATAGCCACCAAATCAGAAAATTTTGAAGTAATGATCTTTTTGATAATTTTTATCCTCGTATTTATTTGAAGAGAGAAGGGCAAAAAATAAACCGAATCATTCAAAGAAGTTGTGGATAAGCAAAATGAGTTGTGATAAAAAAATTGTTCAATACTAATACGATATATTTACATAAAAAATGAATTAGTTCGACGAAAAAAAATAATTAATTTACAGTTAAAAAATATTAAGAAGAAAAAGAAAAGAGGAAAAAGAATGAAAATTGATTTTTTTGTAGGCGTTTGTAAACCTCGAAAAAGAGAAGAAAAGGATTTGATTAAAAAATAATCGTTATTAAAGTTTAAAGAACTTGTCTTTGCTTTTACCGAAATGTTTGAAATGATATTCCTCACAAGATAAAAAGTAACTATTAACCGGCAGGGGTAAAATTCGACCAGTTCGATCAGTTCGATCAGGTGAGGATGCGTCGTGCAAACTCGGATTCACGAGAAATGACACCTTATTCTTATTATCTGGGGTCCAAGTACATTCTCCTGGTAATTGATCATTATCAGTTGGAATTGCTGATGTTGGCGATAAAGATGGTGACGACAAAGATGATGACGACGACAATGATGGTGACGACAATGATGGTGATGGTAATTCAGATTGATAGGGCGTAATTCTTTCGGAAGGGGAAGAAAAACGAGAAATTTGAATGACAGAAGTTTCTTCTAGTACACTAGGTGAATCATTTTCGGAATTGTTAACCAGCAAAGTATTGTCGGCATTTTTGTTATTATTGCTCGTGGTTAATGGATCACCTCCACTTTTTTGTTTCTTTGAGGTGCAAGTGCCAATATGGCGGGCCAAGTGTCCCGAGCATTTAAAAGTTTTCTTGCAACCATTATTAAGAGGACAAACATATGGTTGAGAATTGGTGATTGAATTAATAAAGGTGGTCGACTCGGTAAATATAATATTATTATTATAAGGGAAGGTATTATTAAGCGGAGATGATGCAGTAGTAGCAGTATTATTACCATTGGAATTAACATTTAAAGTAGTAGTATTCGATGACGCTGATTGATATTGGTTGGTGTTCCTGAACGCCACCAATGGAATTCTGCTCTTACGATGATGATGATGTATATGCTGCTGGTCTTTCCTTTTAAATGGTTTCGCGTGAGTTTTTTCATGTCGCGTCAATTCATCAGATCGCGAAAAACGCTTTTGACAAGTTTTACAAATAAATGGTCTCTCGCCCGTGTGTGTACGCATATGTCTATTCAAATGTTCTTGTCGAACAAAACCTCGTGTACAGATAGAGCATTTATGAGGTCTATTGGCATCGTCATCATCTGATGAATCTCGAGGACTCGAAAATAACGTCGAAAATTGATATTGTTGCTGAAACTGTTGCTCATAAATGTTGCGGTCAATTTGATTAGTCATTGTTTGTTATTGGTGTCGAAAACTTAAAAAAACAAATGTTTTGTTTATTTGTTGTTTGTGTATCATTTACTTTTGACAACGAGTTTCGCAATTAAGGAGTGAGGAGTGAAGTAAGAATATATTATAGTGTATATGACAATGATGGGCCGGTCGTCGCCGTCTCGTTCGTTTCGTCGTCGGTTTGTCCCCCAAATATGAGAAACTAACTGCTGGCTTTATGCAAGAGTAAAATATTCCTGAAGTACACATATTTATAATATTTTATTATTTTAATAAGATAAACTCCACAAAAACATTCTTTTATTTTGCATGCTCTTAGTATGAGCATTTTTTTTTGCTAGCTGATAGTTAAACTACAAACTATTGTAAACAAGAGTGAGTATCTTTAACATTATCTCGCTTGAAAAAAGACCCTTATTTGTCATGATAAGTTCAAATGCACCATGCAAGGGGCGGCGGTACTTATAAAAAGAGTAGCAAGCAATAATTCAATATTCAACTTATCGTTCCAATGATATTTACTAATGCATGCATATGCATTCGTGTAGCCTTCTTGCTATAAATTTATACAGTATCTATCAGTCAGGTGAGAACAACCTGTCAGAAAAAACAATTATCCTCAAATCAATAATTGTTGGTGTGTAACTTTTAGATGCCATAACAAGGAACACGTCAAAAATCGATTTCATAATACAGGTTTACACGTAATAATGCATCTTTATGAGAAAGAAGCGGAGAGAATATGGGTGGAATAATTGTATGGTTGTAACACTTTAATCGGGTTAAAAGTACCATGCGTTTTCTCCATCAAAATTTGCTTCCTGTTCTTTTTTTTATGTTATCAATTTTAACATTATATGCATTGTTTTCTCACCTCTTACACACCGACGATAAGTAAATACATTTTTTCGGGAGTGACACTGCACAATGGCGAAGAAAAAATAAAATAAACAAAAAAAAACAAAAATAAACTACAATAAACAAATAAGCATACAAACAATAATAAAAAAATTGACAATGCCCTTTGACATTTTAAGAATCACATGTTAAAAAATCTTTTTTGGACCCTGAGCGTGAAAATCTTAATTTTTATGTCTATGATTAGCAGACAAGCACCCCGTTAGATACACTATACGTACATGTATTTGCTTTATCTTTATTTCTCGGTGAGTGATAGTGTGTAAATTATGTAGCTTTTTTCAATAATTGTCAACACGTGTGCAGGAATTTTTTGAAACAAATGCAAGCTCGCTCTTGAAGTAAAAAGATGATATAATTCATATTATGTTTTTTTATGTTAATTCATTCTCTTTTCCGGGTGTATTTGAAATGATCCTATTTTTAATTATAAAAAATCATTACATTTATAGAATAGAATAGTCAAAGTATTTCCAATAGCGATATGAACCGATAATATATATATATATATATATATATATATATTTCAAGATAGGTATACATATAAATTAATAAATACAATGCGGTACAACGCACCGAACGTACGCATATTCGCTTGCTAATGCATTTTAAAATTTGTAATTTATTTACATTTCACGAGCAAACTATTTACACGCAGAATCATATTTATCTTTACGTGAGATTTACGCGTTTTTTTATTGCGTTAAAAAGATCGATCAATAGATATAAAGACATATTTATATAGAAATTTTTAGGAAATAGCACGCGACAATGCTCTCTTTATTCATTTCTATAACTAGCTGTAAACAAACAAAAAACCAGTCTAATTAATTAGTTAACATAAAAAGGGAGTTTTTACTTTTTGATTTGGTATACATAAAATCGAAATAGAAAAAACGCGTGTGCTAAAAATTTGACCATTCTTAAAACTTTAAATCCGGTTCTAATTTTTTACTATCTATAAATGTCATTTATAAAATTCGTTATCGTCGTTATTTAGACCAAACTTTTAATTGATTAATTAATGAAATTAAGGAAAAATTTCTGATATATTCTAAATAATCATTTTAATAATTATACTATAATTAAGGCAGTTTTTTCCCTTCGTCGAATAGCATGTGACACATTTCTGATATAACATAATTTTATTACATTCGATAATATATTTAGTTTTCCCGAATGTCAACATGTACATGCAACTTGCACTATCATGCTATGCTAAATGTACAAGTACATATGCAAATTAGCTATCAAGTTATTCAAAATTGACATTTCATTCTAGATTAGAAAAACCACGGGATAAAGAAATTCAGCCCTGTGCATCATTGTATAAGACGGGGCGTGATATTGCACAATGTCCCAATTTAGCTTATCAATTTTTTTAGAAAGCAACGACATGCATGTTTATGTTGGAATGGTTGCTTATTGACATGTGTACATAACCTTTTAGGTGGTAATGACAAGCCAATCTCGGCGTGATGTAGTGTGATTTCCTTTTAGTTTTAGCTCTGATCATTCATACTTTTCAGGTTAATCTTATCGTTATTTAGACATTAAAAGAGTAAGCTTTTCGGAATGGTTTTATCTGATAAGGAACTTAGTAATTTATCAAAAATGAAGTAATATCGATGTGCTAACAATTAAAAAGTACCGAGTTAGATAGGTATTACAACTTTAAACCTTCTGTTTTACCGTATCACGGGCCTTTACGTAAATATGCACTGACTCTTTGTCCTGTACTATGTTGTGTAGCTGTAGAAAAGACAGCCACATGATTATACGCGCATTTATACAAGTTTTTACCTTACAAGATTACAATTAGTTAAGATTTGTAAATTTCTAGAATACCGTTGCAGACAGTAAAGAATTTTCGCAATTTTAATAGTTATAACACTGTGATAGATAGCGGAAACATATCATTTAATTAAAAATCATTTAACGTTAGCGTTATACCATTTTAATTAAGTATGAAATGTTATCTAAGAAATTATATAAAAATGGTTTAAATTCTCAATAAACATGTTTTTATGATAATATAATTTGATTTTTCAATAAAAATTTAATATAAGAAATGATAATATTTCGTATTTCGAGTCGGATGCAACCGGATCAATCCGAATGGGCGGGTTGTGATCATGACCATCCGGGTGGGTTAATCCGCGGGCAACCTGTCGGTCACGCTGAAGGATTTTTTACTTTAATTCGTCGAAGTATTTTCATGTTTTTAATTAAAACCATCATAATTATATAATTAAAATAGGGTATGGAATTATGGGGAAGTAGCGTAAGTGATCCGAATGTAGAAATTCAAAAAGAAAATTAAAGCATGCCAAAACCGTCACAGTCAATCTCTAATTTATAATTTTCAAAATAATAGAATTTTTTTGCTTATTCAATTAGTAAATACACAGTCACGCTCTTTATAGTGGATACAAAAAATCCAATGGATTTCTACACTATAACGAGAGATACATAAAAAAATCTCACTATATGTATTTACTATTAAGTTACATGATATATACTATTATATATGTATAAAAGAT